CCAAACGCGGCTCCGCCGCCGGCCCCAGAGGCAGCTCCGAGTCGCCGGCTCTGAGCTCTCCGCGGGGCCAAAGGCGGCCCTTAGAGCTGAGAGGCTGCGACTGACGCTGCCCGAACCAGCCCGCTCTGAACACCGAAACACCGCGGCTGGGATTTACTTCAAGCCCCCGAACGCGAGGCTCTGTGAAGCCAAATCCCCAGAAGGCGGGACTCGGTCTCTGCCTCGAGCCCCTGAAATGCACAACTCGCTCTCTGGGAGCCCGGATGCTCGCTCTGAGGGACCGGGCTTTCCCGTCCCCAGATCTCAGCTCGGTCCATCGCTGTCTGCCCTTGGCCAGCGCAGCCCGGCTTTGAGAGTCAATCGGCGGCACTCGGGCTCTGGAGCCTGGACTCGCTCGCTCGGACCGAAACCCTGAAACCAGGGCTCAGTCTCTGTGCCTGAAGCCCAAACCCAGGCCGGACGTGAGCCCGCTGCTGGCAGAGTCCAAAACGCAGGATTCGCTCTCTGCTTTTAAGCTCTGAGCCTGAATTTTGAGCCCCTCAAACGCGGCACTCGCCGCCCTCTGTGAAGCCCCAGAGTGCCGGGGTGAGTCTGGTTCTGAGCTCCCCAAACACAGCCAAGGCTCTGTGTGAGCCACAGCTGCAGGAGCGGGGCTCAGCTCCGAGCCCCCGAAGGCAGCGCCGGCTGTCTCTGGGAGCCGCAGCAGCCGCTCAGGCACTTCCCACCTCGCAGCGGGATCGGGAGGGGAATGAGAAACAATAAATAGATAATAATGGAACAATAGTGACAGTACATGACAGTACAATGTGAGAAACAGGGATAACAACCATGATGAAGAGATTAAAAACCAAATTCTGTTAGTACATACACACCTCAGAAATTTTATTAAAACCAATGTCAATATTTCCTGATGCATATCAGGACAAACAGTATTGGGAAGTCTTTTGTCCTTCAGCAGAAGGCTTCTTCAAAGGAACTGGATAAACTGGCATTGGTGATCAAAAGTAACTGTTCTTGAAATATCAGGGGTGAAATTTCAGCCATTTTAAAGGTCAGGTGCTGCCTCCAGTTGTGTTTCTGCCAGAGCAGAGACTTCTGGTGTTCCCAGAAAGCCACAGGGTGGAATGTTTTGTCAAGGTGGTGATTTCTGATTTGTGTCTGCATCCTGCAGTGTAGATTTCAGTGTGGAATCTGCAGCAGGGATGGAATTGTCACCCATTTATAAAAAGGCATGGAACACCGGTGTGCCTGAGCTGAATTCTTCTGATAAACTGCATTTCCTTTGAATTTGATGCAGTTTGAGTATTTATATTTTGATGCCTGTTGCATAATGCCTGTATCCAGTGGGAAGTCTCCAAGAGAGGGGCTCTCCTCCTGCCTCAGGAGAAGGGGCTGTTGGAACGCCTCGGCCAGCGAAGCTGTGCTGGACTGCACTGACAGGAAAGCCCCCGTTGGTTTGGGGGCTCATTGCGCCGGGTGCTGAGGGTGGGAATGAGTTCTTGAGCTGTGAGGAGCTTGCAGAAAGTGTTCTCTGCTCTCTGAGCCCCAGTGAGTGAATATGGGCCTGTTAACCCTGCAGTAAGAACTGTGCCAAGGTTTATTCCAACGCGGTGTCTTTGGAACAGGCTGCAGAATGTGCTGGGAAATTGTTCCTCTTCCACTCTTCTCTGCCAACTGCGGAAGCACCAGGGAAGCTGAAAAACAGAGATGACAAGAAACTGCTCAACACAGATAAGGAAAAGGTATTTTCTGCTCTGAGCTACGAGGGGACTGCTGGTACACAGCATTTGTCTAATAGGACACTGATCTTCTTTCATGTATTTCCTTTAACACAGCATGGAGTGCAAGGCAGTCGTATAAAGAGGTGCTGCTGCTGGACACTGACCTGTGCCTTCGTTTTTGTACTCAAGTGACATTGCTTATATGGCAATTGTTATTGCTGTGGCATTCCTTGTGACCTCTCTATTCAAGAGCAGCTCTCCATTGCTCACTTCCCCCTCTACAGACTGTAGGAGTTTTTATGATGTTAATATGAATAACTTATTCTATAATGTCTGAGAGGTGTCCCCAAGACCCACAGGTGTGCTGGTGCTACAGCTGCCAGCAGCACTGCCAGGAGCTTTTTGCTTTCAAAACCGCTCAAGAGCCAACCTGCCCAGCACACCCAGCATTCCAGCCAGCTCCTTGTAAGCAGCGCTGTCAGAGTGCACAGAATTCTCCAGCTGGTGGCTGATTTACACCCAGTGACCTGCTCCTGCCCAGGGTCTTCAGTTCCCTCTGAAGCCAAATGCTGAGACATCCTGAGTACCTTGTCAGTGCAGGGGTTGAATCCTTCACTGAGTTCTCGGGGGGCAAGACAGTGCAATGACTCCAAGCCTCCTCCAGAATGGAAAGACAGGACAGGCACCCCAAATCAGCCTGGAGGCGTTGTGCATTTAATAAAAGTGGAAAGGAAGAAACTTACCAGGCTTTTTTCTTTTCCAAGAGAGCATGCTCAAATGAAGTCTTCGTTTACTTGTGCTAGGTGAAATAAATATTCATCAGCTCAGTGATTGTGAGCCTTATCCTCCCCTTTCTCTGGAGGTGCAACAAGTGAGAAATTAACTGACAGCCACTGATGGGATTAAAAGCTTTTCATCTCTAGTCACCATTTCTGTGTGGTCCAAATCCCAGTGACCAAGAAAATGGCCTGATGTTCTTCCTGTATAATGGGGCATGTGGGACTGTGTCTCACTCCAGTACTTCCCAAGTGTCCTCTCTCCCCACAGGGACATGGGCCAGGATTTGGGAGTGCGCTGCCCTGCCTCGCTGCCTTACCTGTGCAGCCTTGGTCAGTCTGTCACTGCTCAAGTGCCACCTTCACACGAGCAGGGGTAGTGCTGTTCTTCATGGAGGACAATGCAGAGGAGGAGTTCCTTGTCCATTAACCTCAATTAAAACATTCCATCAGTTGCTCATTAACAACACAGACATCAGACTTTGCAGGCAAAGGTGCCCATCCAGACAGCTCTAATCTAACACTTGCTGCAGCACTATTCTTTTTTTTTTTCCTTACAGTAACTGAGCTGTTTCTGCTTTGAAGGGAGGAAGCAAGAAACCTCCACCACCTGCCACTTCTTTCCAGTCAGTGAAGACTTGAGCAGCACCGCAGCTTCTGCAAACTGATACAGAAGCACATCGGATCCCCTTGTTTTGAACCCTCCTCTTCCCTTTAGCCTAAGTGTATGTTAAGAGCAGCCCATTCACTGAACTACCAGTACTGGGCATGGAACTGAAAGGGGGAAATGGAAATTAGCATTTTCTACTCAGTCAACAACAAGAAAATATTTGTCCATGGCACAAAAGCAGTGTTCCTAAGGTAAAGTGCCATTATTTTTTGAATAACAACACAATCAGGGCAAAAATCACCAAATAAGATGTGCCCCTACTAGGGCACCTTTACCTTCTCTCTGTTCCTTATAGCCTGTGGCAAACTTCACCAGTGACCAGATGAACATCACCTTTAAAACTCCCCCAAATCCAGTCACTCTCCAGATGTGCACATATGACAGAGGAAAAAACAAGCTGTAAACAACAGGCAGTTTCCATTGGCACCACGGCAATCCCTGCTCAACACTACCAAAGCCAGGGAGTTCCCCGGCCCGTCAAAACCTTCCAAATCAAAAGAACAGCTCCAGTCTGCAGCAGCACAGAGGAAACCACTTGGCAATTCCAAAACCTCAAGGAGAACCAACCCACAAAATATTAAGAAAGATATTTCCACATCAGCTTTGATAAACATGTTTAATAATCTGCTACTTTACAGGACAGTCATTTAAAAGCTGGGCTTTGAGAGCAACACTGAGGCTTGAACGCCACTTTTCCAAAACCCACACCTCAGACCTTGAGACATCAAAAGCTGGGTTTGTTCAGCCTACCAAGAACCGCACAAGAAGCTCAGAGCTGTGGTTCTGCTAAAAACAGCCATTGTACCTAGGGAAGGGGGTCAGTGTCCTTCCACACTGCACTGGATCAGCAACAGCCCTTCCCAAATGTGTGCCCCACCCTCAGGCTCAGTTCCAGCCGTGTTCCACAGGCTCGCACCACTCCGTGTGCGCGCCTCGCTCTGCAGTGACGCTGCTGCTCCTCCCTCCGGGGAACAAAGGTGCTACAGACACACGCTGGGGAAAATCCCCACCCCAGGAGCAGCCCAGGCCTGTTCACAACTTCTGGGCTGTACAGAAATGCACAACTCGGTGCTCTGCAGGAAGGATGACACACAGCTGCATAGAATTGCCACACTCCCCACTACTGACACCACAGGTGAGTGCAGATACACCACAAATTAAAAATTAACCTTTTCCTATTCCCAGGAATAATTTGGGAAGTTTAAACCAAATAAGAAAAAATAGAATGCTATTTATTTCATTTGCTCCTTGGTTTCAGAGAAGTTAAAATAGGTGTCAATACAGACACAGCACTTTTTCTTCCATAGGACAGCAAGTCTGCTGTGGCCATGCAATTCAGAACTGCATTTTGTGCCCGCTCCACCATATTAATGCAATCCAGTCCAAACCTCTGAAGACGGAGGAGGAATCCGTGTTTTGGAGAAAATGCAGTTGAAAAAGCAGTCTCCACATTGCAAGGTTCCTAAGGGAAGAGCAAGGGGGTCACTTCCATCCTACCCGTGGTGTGAAGGGCCGGTGCTCTCTGCTCTGAGTTCAGTGCTGCCTGTGCAGGACGTGGCCGGGCGAGGGGCTGTGCCACACCTGCAAGGCCGACTGCCTGCAACGGCGCGCACCAAGACAATTGTAAAAGTCATCTGCCTTGAGTCCCCAGAGGAATTCACTGTAGGAAAAACAAGACTGCAGGAAAGATTCCCAGGCGAGGCGTGGGCCGGGGGAAGCAGCCGGCACCTCCTCAGCGGGTTGGGAATCCCCCTCGATGGGTCCCTCCACGGCCCCCTCTGAAGCCGCCCCGCTCACCGCGGAAGTTGGTCCTGTTCCTCTCCCTGCCCCTTTCTCCCCGTCCCGCCGAAGTCCCTCCTCTTCCTCCTCCTCTGGGAGCTCCCCCGCCCCGGTCAGACTTGGACTTGGGCGGTGGGGACTTGGGCCGCAGCCTCTCGATCTCCTCGGTGCAGCCGGTCAGGTGGGAATTGGGAGCCGTGAAATACGAGGAATACGTTTCCGCGTTGAAGTTGCTGTTTGTGAGGGTGGGTCCCACCGTCAGCCAACCTTGGGAACAAAACCACAGTCAGCAGCAGCAACAACAAACTTCAGGCTTCACTGCTGAACTTCTCCCAGGAAATGAACACCCAAGAGAGAGGGAGAAACACTCCCCTACACATCAGTGGCACTGAACAGAATGAAAAGTCACCTCTAGGGTCGTTGCAAAGTTCAGATTTTAGCTGGGTATTTCTAAGGGCTTATTTTCATTTTCTAAATTTTTTTCATTACCCATGGCTGTGGCAGCATTGATGCTGTGCTTTCACCAGCCCCTACACCTTCTTCCTACTTGTCCATATACCACAACAGTGTTTTTAAAAAGTATGGAAGTTCAACCAGAGTAACCTGACTCTGTGAGACACTGACACACAAAATCCACTGGCAGCAGGACTGAACACCTGAACCACGTGTCATGATCCGTGCATTTCTTGCATTCTGCACCAGGCCAGATGCAGCACCCACTGTGAGATGCTGCATCTTCAGACACTGGCAACAGCACTAAGCTGGTAGGGGTTGAAAAGAAAGAAATCACTTTTCTGAGAAGTGTAAATATATGGGAGAAACGGAATCTCAACTGGATTTTGTTATGCTCACTGATGAATTAAACATGTGGGTGGGCAAAAATATTGGTTAACAAAAATCCCTCTTCTGAAAAAACTATAGAAATAGTATAAAAACAGTAAATATAAATATATATATATATATAATATATAGAAATTATAGTTGTCATAAGCTTTCCAAACAACAGTTCTGTGACTGACAGGTTTCCACACACACCAAAAATGCATCTGCTTGAGATCTGCTGCCTGATCTGTGACACAGATCTGGACATCTCTTCAGGAGCCTGAAATGGGTTTCACTGTTTGACCCAACCCAGCACAGCAGTTACCTGGTCGAATCGTGCTGTCCCTCCCAAAGAGGTGAAGCCGCCGTCGCCCGAGGCAGAAATGCTCAATGATGTGGAAAATCTCCACGGGTTTCTCAATGTTGCCGATCTCAGGCTCCTCGGTGATGATGAGGTCGATGTCTACGTTGGCGTGGATGAAGTCGCCGTCGGTGCTGCGGCGCACGGTGCCCTTGATGCCCATGAGGCAGTGCTCCTGCAGACACACGGAGCTGTCACCTGTCACACCCCTACTGCTGTGCCACGTGAGCACAAGGGACAGCAGGGCAGTTCTAAGCACGGCACACCCCGCTCTTACAGGAGAGAAATGAACTAGAGCTGGAGCTACCCAAGGAGCCATTTGAGAACAAAGCAGAGCAGTACTTGAAGCTGAAGCTCGATAAACTACACCAGGAGGTGTGTAAAGCAAGGCTGAAGTCAGGTATTTGGACTTCAATTACAGAACTTCAGGCTGGAAAGGCTGAGAAATCTCCACAAGGCAGAAGAGAAAAATGTGATGGCAAGAGCAAGGAATGGTTATTAATTATGATTAATACCTGTCTTAGCATTCTGATCCTGATTTCATTAATACAATAATTTTAGAAGTTTTCAGTCATAAAATAGGGCGTGGAAACAAGATGTACTTTTTGATATTGTACCTCTGTTAATAAAGTAGCCCACAGAACTCCCCTCAGGTTGCTTTCCAGATCTTACTGCATAAAAGCCCACAACCGCTATCACACGGTCAGGGCACTCTCAGGCAGCTCATCAGCATTACAGGTGCTCCTGAGCTGTAACATGCACTGCTTTCCTTCCTTCCACAACACTGCAGACCAATTTAAGTGAGTGATATGTGGCACCTGTGACTGAGGAATCACCACGATTGTTCCAGGATGAAAAGAGGCTCCTACATACTCATTTCAGAGCTCTGTTTCTTGGAATATCAAACTTGGATGAGCCACATTCCCCAGGATCAAAGACTCTGACTCACTAAGCGCCACCAGATGGCTCAGGAAGCAGTTGCAGACAGGAGCATGTAAGCATTCCCCAATTTTGGAAAGGGTTTGCAGAGTTGGTGGGTAAACACACAAGGCACAACATCAGACCTGTCAAATCTGTGCAGATGGTATTGCACTCCAGCAACACAGGTTTAGACCTGGAATCTACCTGAGTGAAAGGTAGGATACTGCCAAGCAAATCACCCAGCAAGCCAAGCCCTCCTCAGTCCAGTCCTTAGGAGAACTATCCCAAACATTTGACTTCCATACCACACACCATGTCACTCACAAACACCTGGGATCCTCTGACAGGTGGCACAGCTCTGAGCACCCACGGAGAGATGCCTCAGCCCAACAGAGCAGAAGCTGCTCTAAGCACTGGCAAACACAGCTTGCCAACAGTGTTTGTTTAGTCAGAGCAAACTCGCTCCATTTTCAGTTTAGCACAAACAGTGACCTCAGCCCAACGCTCGCTCCATAAACAGAGCAATTCCCCCATACCAGAAACTATTTTTATTTGCTAAACAAAGACAAAGTCCCCTCAAATCCTCCTCTGTTAGTTTTAACCTTACCCTCACCAGCAAACTTCACATATTTGCAAAACTATTTGCAATAAACACACAATATTTATACTTATAAATATTTATAATTAATACAACACACTTTCAAACAAACTTCAGATTAATGTAAATGCAAGTCAAAGAAAGATTCCAGATATCCTAAAGGGAAGTTTATACTCCCAACAATGGCCAATTTGAGACGGACTTGAGGATGTTTAATGCTAATGAATGATTAATGAATGAGGAAGGATGTTCACTGACACTTGAAATGAATCAATTGCCAACCAGCTCTCTTTACCCAGTAAAATTGTCAGTTACACTCAAACATGCCCAAACCAATTATTTATGAGTCCCATTTACACTTCTCTAAGTTTCTGAACAACAGACATTTTAAGTCACAAACCAGAACGCTTTTTTCCTCTGCACCTCCTTCAACACACATCCTCCACCAAGCATTTAAAAAACAAATGTTTGTTTTAAACCGAGCTGACCCATTCTATCACTTGTGCTGTACAATCACCTCCAGGAAGGCAGGAGATGCTCTCTGAGCTCTGGCTCCCCCAGACCTCTCTTGGGTCCAAGCTCTGGGTGCACACCTGCTCGTGTGCCTTTAGAACCAATTGCCAATCTCCTATAGTTAGACTTTATTTTGATTCAGTTACAATCTAAAGATTTAAAGACTTCTTTTGACAATGAATTTAGTCAAATTCTATTGCTAAGATTAGTTCCATAAAATGTGCTTTTGCAGAACAGAACTTGGAAGTCCTCTAACACCGGGTGTGTCATTAGCACACAGACACAGAATGGAAACAGAGGAGGAACGGAGCCAATCCTTTACCTTGGTTCTTTGGAAGACAGCCTTAGGGTCTAGAGTCTTGGTCTTGCCAGGGTTGTTCTTATTTGTTTTAATCCAGCAAATGTCCTCACATCTTCTGTAACCCCATTTGCGCAGACACTGAATGTTATAAACAAGTAAAACAGTTCACACCACACAAAAACATCAAGTGACCTGAACACGCACTTAGGCACTTTACTTTTCTTATTCTAAGACTGTCCAGCTACCACAAACCCATCTATGACCAAACCAAATCTATCTGGCCAACTTCAGACTGAAAAAACAGCTGAAGCACACAGATCAGTAACCACAGGCTGCCCTTAAACAGTTGCCTGTGAATTGTTCTCATGGAAAGCGCTGCTCGACTAAATAAAGAATGTTTCAGCACAGCAGGAGCCAATTGGGAATTCTTAGTGCAGCGTTTCCCTGGCATGCAGAAAGATGACAATTGTATCTCAATTTATGAAACAGTAGGACCTTTCTCCTAGCATGAAGATTTCTGGCAGAAAACTCCTGAGACTTCTGTTAAGTAAGTTGTGACTTGGCAATCTGCTCCTCTGTGAACACACACACATCAAAACCAAGACCCCAAGGAATTATGCTTCCTCACATAGCCAGTGACTCATCTGGACATTTACAGTATTTAAACAGTTAATGCCATTTAAAATCACATAACAAAACATCCCTCTGTAGTCAGGGCTGAGAATTCTATACAGGGAAAAGTCAAAGATAAAAATAAACTCTTAAGCCTGCCTCTGATAAATTGAATTAAAACAACATCTTACCACTCGGCCGAGATCCAGACCCTCGCCTGAGCCGCACCACAGAAACACAAATGACCTTGGGGCTGCAATTTCTTCAATTTCCAGTTTCATGATCTAGTAATAATAAGTGCAATAAAAGTGTTCCTGAATTAAATACGAATCACCAGTTGTATCAGGAAGAATATCATGAATCTTGAGGAATTGTCACAGAAACCATCAGGAAGCACACCTGGGGGCCCAAGGGAAGCAGGGAACTAATTCCTTGTTTTGCTTTGCCTGTGTGCATGGCTTTTGCTTTCCCCATTAAACTGTCTTTGTCTCGAGGCGTGAGTTTTCCAGCTTCTACCTTTCCAATTCTCTCCCTGATCCCACTGGTGGGGGAGTGAGCAAGTGGCTGTCTGGGATGGAACCATCAAAAACAGAAATTCTACCTCTATAAAAAAAGCTAGACTTAGAAGACCAATACAACCCACATGATCTCCTCAAATCCCTGCTTTGTTTTATCATTCTACTGGCAGCAAAAATATTTAATACAGAAGCAACAGTACTGTTTCTTTGCCTAAGTACTTACATGAGAGTTGTGAAGAGGTTCTAAAAATCCCAGCTTAATTCCTATCAATAAATAGGAAAGACATTCTCTCCATTTTCACTTTCAGGAGAAGCAGCCAGAATTTGTGGGAACAGTGGTTCAGCAATGGCAAATGAGTAACATTCAAGATGAAGTAACTTCGGATGCAAAGCATCTGTTAGTCACTGCAAGCTGAAAGGATTCATCTCTAACTTGCAAACACATCAAATCAAGCCTCATTCAGTGCCTCTCCGAGGAAAAATAACACAGGAGGAGCCATCATAAGAGCAAGTAACTCCAAGGGTTACTTGGAGTTACTTGCAGGGTGAGTTTTGCCTCCAATACTCCAGTTTTCCTGTTAGGATGGAATGCCTCTTCCCTGGGCAGCACTGCCAGGCACCATTTTTGAATAAACACCAGAGAAAGACTTCCACAAGTGAGGTTTATCCCTTTTGATAATTTTCTAGGGATTATTACTGGTTTGACCATTAAAATTTCCTGCTCAATTAATACTTGGAGAATGGAAGAATGTCAGTAAAGCAAACTTAACTGCACTTTTTACTAGAAGACCAGCATATTTAAGAGCATACGTTAAGAAGCTCAAGAATTTCAAGAAGCAATGGAATATTTTCAATGGACATTTGGTATTTCAACAGCCAAAAATCAAACAGAAAGCTCAGTGAAGGTGAGGACAGAGAGAAAACCTGTTATTAATAACTTATATTTTTCAGCCAGGCTCAGAGAGAACAAAAAGTTGTATTTACAAAATTCAACCCTGAGGCTATTTGCTTAAACAAATGTATGAAATGTTCTTCACAGCAAAAAGGGTACTTACATCATCCCAGGTCCAGCATTTTTCATTGGCAGTAATGCCAGTCTCTCGGTAATATTCTTCCAATGGTGGCTCCAGGAGAATCACATCAAATTTGGACTTCAGTTCCCTAATATCAAAGGCTTCCAAGTCTGCTTGCAAATACCTGTTCAAACAGAAGATGCCAGACTGCTTGGACAAGGTGAAACAGTGGCCTGGAATCTACACTCCACACAGCCCCTCTGTGCAGCCAGATAAGAGCAGGGTCTCCTGGGTGAGCCCTACACATCAAATGCTCAAAACCCAGAGGAGATCCATTACACATCCTCACTTAATTGAGGCTGGATACTATTGCATTGTGTTTTTTAAGTAGTCTTAATAAACAGTCTTTAGGACTCAGCAAGCAGGAATCAGATGCCCACTCAAACTGTACAACAATACCTCGTGCAGACTCACTGCACTTTCTGTACACCCATGGACTGTAACAGGAGGAAACATACACATTTAAGAAGCAGACACTCACTGCCTGGCTAACTGGGAAAGTGGGATATTTTTAGAATGATTCCAAAGATTCCAAATACTGGAAACATTGTTACTTTTATATAGTATACATGCCTTTCTCTATTCCTGTACCAAGCAAAATTCCCCTCACATTGATTCTATTAAACACACACTCACACACTTACAACTCTCCTCCACACCTGCACAGCACTCACTGCTCTATCACTATCAAAAAATTACACTGCCCTCCCCTAAATTCCTTTAACCTTGGTAAAGCTATCAGTAGACCACCACCTTCGCCTTCCCAGAAAGCATGGAAGAGATTTCATACGTGCACTTGGAGCTATCAGAAGGCAGCATTTCATTATTGGTTTTCCCCCTTTTGTACTTCATGACCAAAATATGTCTCCCTTAGAAGATAAGGCTGAGTCCTGCACTTTGCACTCAGAACTAGATCTTTGTGATATAGGTTAGGAGTGCTGCACAGGACAAACATAAGGTTAAGTTCAGAGAGGTCTGAATCCCTGGAGTAACACGCTGCACACTGAGGCTGGGTTTGACATTCAGCATAAACTCTGAGGCAATTCCAAGTCAATAAGGACAAACGACTTCCAAGGGTAACATGAGATTCACCACCACATGATATTCTTTTAGTTCCCAAATTAAAGCCTGCAGCCAAATCAGTTGACAACTTGGTCTTTAAAAAAATCAAAGCTTTAGAGACTATAAATAATCACACACCAGAAAGAAAATCTAGTTTATACACTGCATTAAACATCTAGATTAAACTAACAAAACCAGAGTGATCTTACTCTTCCATGCTTCAATTGATTCATTTGTATACACAAACAGAAACAGAAAATGTAAATTCTAAGCAGGTGCTGAAGATAAAGATTTGCAAAGCAGACAGCTAACTTCAAACAGGTCTGGAGAAGAAAGGCATTTTCCACAAGAACACTTACATGGGAGGAGTGTTAGATTTAGATATCAGCTCATCCTTCAATCTGATGAGCTCTCTAAGTTTTGGATATTCTTCAAACCTATCTGCTAAGCCTAAGAAGAAGAAAACATGAAATTAACAACTCAACAAAGTAAATCTCTATCAATTAAGTATTGTCCAATATTCTGAATAGGTGCAAATGTTAATGCTTAGTCTCATTTTAATTTTTGTTAGAACAAAGCAAACCCTTTAAAGCAGTTTTTCATTCAGTACTTGACAAAAACCTCCTGCCCTCACCCATCTGATCAGGGCTGTTACTGATGCAGTGTCTATGCTCTGATCTTCTCCAGAGCACTACAGTGGATGAGGGATTCACAACTCCAGTTACCAGACCGAAACAACCTTTCATTTCAACTTCCATTTCAAAATGAAAGTTATTTTGGTGAAAGAAGTTACTTTGGTTTTTCCCCTCCATAAATTCCTATTAATATCTGACTAACATCAATTCACAGCACTGTCTGTGTAATCTTGCATGACTGTTTCCAAGGTGGCACCTGGAGTGTGGCTGGTTCCCTGGGGCAACCCTTTCACCGAGATTTGGTGCTGTGGTGGCAGTCATGAAGATCTGAACACATGTTCCTACATTTACCTTTATGATGTCAATTTTCCAACCTTTCATGTGTACAGAATGCAAAGGAGAGAATCCTCATTAGGTCTTTTGCAGCAAATGTTGTAAAAGGAAAATATACTTTCAAGTATATTTCATTCTCCCTTAGAGACAATGGGTTTGCTATTGCCAGCAGCAGGTTCAGCAAAAACCAGCAAGATGCCACTCCTGCTTCCCAAGCAGCAGCACTTCAGCTTTAACAGGAGTTATTTAAAAGGCTTCATTTTCATTTAAAAGTACAACTTGGAATGGTATTAATAAATTGGGGGAAAAAACCTCAACCAAACCCACAAACCCTTCATCTCTCTCCGTATTTTAATTCAAACTTCTTAAGTCCCAATCCTAGGAATGCAATGATAAAAGCAAAGTTCTCAGTACCTAACCTTTATCATCTCTTGCTACTCGTGCAATAAAACACCTAAAAGTTATTTCCATCCTTTTCCTTACATATGTAACAGCTTAAAACTACTGTTCTCCTGATTTCCACCACTGTGCTGCTTCCAGCCATTTTAAGTCCAATACCCATGGGCAGCAGAGACAAACTAGGGTTTGAGGGTTTTAAGTCAAAAGTCCTCAAACAAGACCCACAGATCTCTCCCTCTTTTCCAACAGCAACATCAAAAAGATACAGCTGGCTGTTCCAGAACCACTTGTTTTGCTTTGGGCCACATCCACTACCCCTCAGCAGAGTTGTGACTGTGGTGGAGGAAATGTGTGCTCACCAATGTGCAGCTTGACACAGCTCAGCCCCGTTCAAGGCTCTGGCCCAGCTGCTGCTGCTGCTGTGTTCATCTCCACACCAACACCAGCCTAAGTGTTTGTCCTGTCCCTTGCCCACCTGCCACACAGCAGAGATGTCATGGCACACAACAGGGGCTGCTGCTTCCCATTTCCAGGAAGTGTGAAACTACCTCAAGGACATCACTGTGAAGCCCAAGTGCTTTTAAGATAAAGATCCAGTTGAGCCAAAACAGCCCATTTTTTAAAAAAACTCTCCAGATGTGTTTCACAGATGCATTCACAAAATACAGGGAAGAGTAAAGCAAAAGCAGAGACAAAGGAGGCAAATCAAACCTCTTTGGGCTGCCATCTAAAAACACAACCCCTTGCTCAGGCAATCTTACACTTGAGAAAATACAGAAAACTGTTGCATAAACAGCAGAGGGAGATGTCCTGCTCCTTTAAAAAATCAAATGCCAGGCACCTATTCTGGGAAATAAACCCTACAAGCTTAAATTCAGGCCCAGTGTAGCATCATTTCAGTAGCAAGTCCTGTCTGGATACATGTAAACTTGAAAAGCAACAAACTCTAAACCTGGGCATTCCAACCAGCTGTCAGCAGTTACCTAATTTAGCTGGGAAATATTATCCACATTGCTTCCTGACTTAAATGTCAGTATTTCCCACACTTTACACTCTTAGGAGGCAATATGTGCCAGTAGACAGGTGAACTGTAAACCTCCAGAGGTTTCAAGATCTCCTCATTAAGCTCATCTACTTTCTGGAATAAAAAGAGCTTAGTTTGGGGAAAAAAATAAAAATCTTCCTGGTGAAACACTTTCAAGTAAAACCAAGGGTAAGAGCAGCCTTGGTAACAATGACCTCCAAGTAACTGAAAATAAAACCATTCATATAGATGTCTATTCTGATATAGATGCACACTGAGACAAAAAACTAGGAAAAGTTTGTGTATCTCTTCCCAGCACTTCCCAGAAACTGTAAGGAATTAGAAAGGGGAAGAAGAACAAGTGCTGTTGAATCAAAGGAGTCATCTTCAGTTCCTGGCTGTGACATACCAACATCTCTGATGAAGTTCTGGGGTCTGTGTCCTGTATCCACAAAGTGCTGGCAGTAATCGTTGTGTGGATTTAAGCTCTGAGTGCCCTGGAGAACAGGAAGAAGTTCAGTGAGAACAACAGGGGATAACTGGACATACAGACACACTCTATGTGTCAGTCTGATAAATGAGAAAGCAGACTGTCTTTTCAACATGCTTTTAGAAGTTTCACTCATCAAGACCATCCTTTTAGCTCCAAACCAAGCCCACCATTCCTCCATCTCTTTGTGAGGTGCCTCAGAACAATGCAAACACCAGTTACAGTCAGATCTGCCACAGGCAACTTCTGCACCTGTGAGTTCCAAGCCAATAGTTCAGCTTTAAAGCTGTATTTCAGATCCCAGCAGTTGCAGAAACAGTTTAACACAACTAGTCCAGCTTTGACTACCCCTTCCAATTGCAGAAGCAGCTCACCTTAAGAAAGGTACTGGAATCTTTGTAAATCTCTTCTTCATAAGGCAGGTTTTCATCATCTTGCTGCAGCTCTACTTCATCCTTGGAAACAGAGCAGGTTATTACAAGTGTGCATACAAGATTGAGCTGTTTCTGTCCTTTCCTTCAGAAGCAGAATCATAACAAGAAGTGGGCTGCCTACAAACAGCAGATCCAGCTCCAGTGCTGGAGAGGTGAAAAAAATTACCCACTCCCCAAGAAGTCTGCACCTGTCTCAATAATGAGGAGAGTGCTACTGGGAAAGGCCCCTGAAAGAAGGGAAAAATAAGAACCCTTTCACTTCCAACCCCTGACAGTCCTTTACAAGGTGCAGAACCTTACATTTTTGTCCCACCAAACTTTCATTCCTTGGACTGAAAGTATGTATTTTGTTGAAGTTCTTCTGCAGCAGAACTTCTGAGCATTTATATCCACCCAATCATCTCTTAATTGCCAGATTTAGCAAAGCCCACGCTTGGCAGAAACAGCTCATGGTACAAGTCAGTATTTCATCTAGACTGTCCTTAAATGTAACTTTAACATTCCTATTCTATAGCCCAAAATTTACATTAAAAATATCTAGAGAGCCGCTGACTTTTCATTCAACAGATTTCTGGGATTCAGAGATCTGTTACACCCATATGTACTCTGAACATCCAACAGAGAACTCGGAACAGAAACTCAAGAGAGGCTCACCTCACATCACTTTCTGCCTTCCCACTGACCCTGGATCAACCCAGTACACAGATTTATAAAACACCCAAGTACAACTGAAGAACTACTAATTGATATCACCTGCCAGATTATTACAGCTCTATTTACCTTATGCTATATAAGCTGTCTGAATAAAAAACAAAATGTTGTCCCTCCCAATTCTGATCTCTCTAAACATCAAAATCTTTATCTGTTATTTCCATAGTGGAGCTTTGAAACAACTTCTGAAATGCCTGATGTGATAAATGGGTCACAGTTTCCCCTTCCCATTTCAGGTGATGAACTTAGAGATACACAGTCTTTTTACTTGTCTGTTTAACCAGATCAAAAAAAAAGAGATTACTATCAGAAACAGCAGGAGTGTTTGCAAGGAAAAGAAAGGTACAGACAAGCAGCAGCAAGTGTTATTCAGGCCAAAGAAAAAAGCTGAAAGCTTGAGTTTTACTAAAAACTGCTTATGCCATCCTAAGTTACACCTGTTTCCCTCTTCCATCTTTCTCTAAATCTTGTCCTCCTGATGCTAAGCACTCATTAGATACCTGAGGCACCCCAGTTCTCTTTATGCCTTCGTAAGTGATTTAGGAAAAGCCTTGTGGCCACAAGCAAAAGCCCACACCACCAACTTTCAAAGGTAAAGGACACAGTCCCAGCAGAGACACAATGACAGCAGCAGTAACACAAGGTACTAGGTTCCTGTACATTACTTATCTCTGTTCTCCAAAGCACCTGCTACCGAGCTGCTGATCTGGGGAAACAGAAACTGCCCACAAGATTAAAACAGTTTGTTTGAAATGACTGGAGATACATGTAACCCGTGACTCAACCAGCTTCTTCAGCCTCCACAACAATGGCATGGAAACATCCCAGGCCTCCGCTTGCACAAGCCAAGCAGAACAGGGCAGTCTCAAATTTGGCTGGCAGACAGCAAAACAGAACCACAGGCGGTTTTGTACTCCACACAAAGTGAAAATTCCACACACCAGACACTCATACAGGTTCAAACAATGGAGTCAAATCACCTGGGGAAGGCAGCAGGTGGAGCAGCACTCAGCTCCCAGAGGGTGGTGAAAAGCCTGCCAGTGGCAGCAGGGATTCTAATCCCATTATAAATCACTTCCAAACACAGGGAGCTCAACCAACCCTGGGACAACTGTAACAATTCCACAAGGAAAGAGTATTTTAGGAGTTCTCCAAAACCACAACTCAACTTTCTGACTTCAAAATATCCATTATTCATTTTTCCTATAGTGCATCTCTTCCCTATCATCCACCCCCCAAGGCTGGCATGGCAGATCCAGGCTCCAAGACTGGAGTCAGTGCTGCCCTTTGTTCTCACATCAGCCTGAGCCTCATCAAGTACCACCACTATAAATTCACACTTAATCTACAAAAAAATAAAAATAGAGATACAAATAATAATAAAAAATCACCAAAGCACATTGCTTTTTTTCTTTTTTTTTGCATCAGAAGTGCCTACATGGCTGAGAAAAGTAAAATACTTCACCTTTTATCTCAAAAACTGCTTTCACTCAGGTTTGAGGGTACATTCATTTCCACCAAATCTGAAGCCAGGGTACAGAAATTTTACATCATTTCAGAAGACTTACCTGATCCAGTCACATAGAACCAAACACTGCAAGTCAGGGACATAGACACAAGTCCCTTCACATCAGAAATACCTCTGATTTCCCCAACAAAAACAGCAAACTTGGACAGCTTGTCCACAAAACTACAAGTTAAGTCATTATTGCTTCTGTCTAAGTTGCATTAAACACAATACAGTAGGGCTTGACACCTTAAGGATCCAGATTTTTGTACAAGTTCATATTACAGGACTAAATTTAAGCAGGCTCAGAGAGCTCAGGAAAAAGTTACATAAATGCAGATGGAATTTTACTGTTCTCATCTCCTTGCCAATAAGGAATTAGCAATGCCTGCAGGAAACAGCTGATGACTCCACTATAGATGTTCTGCTTTGGGGTTTCAAGTTTCTTGAGTCTGCTGATCTGCTCGACTGAACTTTTTCTGAGCTAGTGTTATTAAAATATTCCTCCATTTCAACAATACAGAAAAAGTCTAGCCACTTTCAAGTGGTTACAGCCCACCTCAGGGTAAGTCTTCTCCACAATGATTAAGAAAATCTCAATGGTGGGATTCATGAACTTTGCCAACCCAAGTGACTTATCCATATATACTTCAGAGGTATTTAAAATTTAGTTCTTCAACCATGTACTTGGTGAAGAAGTAAAATTAATTAATTGATCACTAATGCAAGAATAAAAACCCTGCTTCACAAACACCCTTCTACCTCATGGTGACAATTTCTTCACTGAACAGGATGTACAGACTAACACTTAGCAGGTTAAAAATAATGTCTGTCCCTTTACAGAGAGACTTTCAAAATAAATCACCAAAACCCATCCTATCATACATATATTTTTTAGTCTAGTAAGATAAAAGATGGGCGTTATTCCAGAAAGATTTACAAACCTAAACACAAATGTAACATGACAAAGGCTTTGTATTTAAGAAATGACTATTTCAGGTATCCAGGAGAATAGCAGACACTGCACTATTTCATAAATACACTGACATGGATTCGATTTGACCACAGAGACAAGGTTATTAGGACGTGGAAAAAAGGGAGGAGGACATACAGTGCAACCAGATCCCAAAGCAAATCATAAAGACAGCTGTATCATAATCATGCCTTTGTTTCATCTCTTTCCATCTCTCATCTTGGCCCAAACATTACGTTAGGAGAAAGATGTCAAACAGCTTTGGGATGAGCATTTGAAAAGTGAGGGGCATGACAGTTTGACACTTCAATGACCATGCAGGCATTTTGTTGTTTTTTTTTCAACCTAACTCTTCCTGGACATTTTGGACACTTAAAAGTACACCCTGAACCAAGCCTCTTACTTCCAGTTCCCTTAGAATCCCTTGTTTCTTCCCAGTCATCCAGAACTGCAGTCCTTGGCACTGCACAGATGGATCAGAAGACACCCTCAGCCTCCCTTGTCTCATTCCATGGCTAACTGCTGGCTTTCCTTCCGACATAAAGAAATTCTGGTCAAGATTCTTTCTGTCTGTACCCAAGCACACACATTTTACCACCTCTTCCCACAGCCAGCCATGGCTCAGTGCTCTTCCCTGTGGGCACTCACACCTAGGCCTGCCTCCTCCTAGGGGCAGCACTAACTAAGCCTCCACACATTGAGTTTGGTGAGTGTACCTATGCCTATGTCACACCTGAGCTGAACCCTGTAGCACCTGTGTCCTCTTACACTTCTGCAGTGGAAGGCATAAAGGGAGATGCCACTGTGGAACACACACATTTAATGATCTATACAAATCACATTTACTTGAATATGCACAAACATTTTCTAAGCACCTAAGGGACTCAATACCAGAGTTATTTAATTGTTTCCTCTTTTCCTTACCTTATATTCTTCAATCTCTTCCTCATCAGCTTCTCCCTCATCTGGATATTTACGTTTTGCATTTGGTGCAGAAGTATCATAGGCAGCCCTAGGAAGAGTGAAAAATCCTCATAAAAAAGTTTTGATCTCCAAAGAAAAGAGTTAGGAATCTTGATAATTTGCCTTGACTGCACGTTAAAAATATGAAACTATTTCAAATCATCATACATGAAAAGCTGTTTCCCTCTCAGTATATTTGAGTTCACCACAACTTATTTAGGACAGAACTCTTGAAAAGAGTCATTCCCTCGCCTTTCTCATTTTTCTGCTCAGAAAAGTAAAGCTTACTTTAACCAATGCACTGCAGCTACAGAATGAAGCTCATTCCTCTCCATTTTTCTGCTGTAAAAGGTACAGCTTGTTTTACCCCAAAGCAGTTTCTCTACAAAATTAAGCCTGTTCACACACACAAGTGAGAACTGATAAGCAGTAGCTGCTCTGCCCTAGACATATCCGTAGTTTCACGAGAACTTTCTTTTTGCTTAGCAAAAGCACGAAAGGCTCTGGGAGCCAAGCAGACGGCCCATTCTAAAACGCGGGTCTCGGTTTTCCTACAGGGTAGCTTTTTAACACCAGAAACAAAAGTCAGGCCCTATTTCCAAGCTGCTCCTAGAAAGAAATAACTAGACCCTACTCGCTTAGTCGCGACTCTGAGCTGACTAATGATGCAATTTTCCTTCAGCGAGCGCAATCCCACCGCATTTCCCGGGCCCGTACTGCCATGGAGCCCCAGCCGTGCTCAGCCACCGCCCTCCCATACCGACCTGCAGGTCTCCCTGGTTTCCGCGATCTCCCGCTGCTCATCCTTGCTGTTGAGCACGGCGCCGATGCTGTCGGCGTTCTCGGCCCCCAGCTGCAGACCGGGAAACACAAAGTCACCCCGCGGCCACCTC